TATCCATCTTTTGCGAAGAATGGAGCTGCGTTGGAGTGTTTGATAGTATTTTGGGTGCTGTCATATCGCTACACCATACAATTTGCAGAAGTTAATGTGTTAAAAATAAATCAAGCATAAAGCTTGAGATATTATTTTAACCTGGTGAAATGTAAATGATATGAGGATGCAGGGTCACAGTAGGTTAAATAACAGATTTCCAAACATATAAGTATCACCTTGAACTTGAAAAAAAGATAATCTGTTTACCATCTTGACTGGAAATACTGTTTTCATGGTCAGTTTTTCATTTATTATTTGCTAAAGTTAGCGAATGTTTACAGAGTTCATGTCCTACTGCGCTGAAATTAACTGGAGGCTGGAAACGAGCAACCTCTCCTGGTTGGAGATAGTATTAACATTATAAACTGAAAGCAATCTTTACGTGACTTACTTTTCAAATGTTTTAAAATTGATCATCCAAGTCTAATGTGATCCAGCGGGCCGTACTAAAAGACATTGCGGCCCTCCAGTTGCCCTTCCCTGATATAGATGCTGTGAACGAGATCGGTCCACTGCTAGTCAAGTTATCCCGTCCCATAGTGCAAAGTCACATGACTTTTTCGATGCGCATGGAGGAATTTATTCGGTAAATGTGTTTCCATCGTAGTTTATGCGCATTTTTTCTTAGCGGATAAAAAGTTTATCCTACTCAAATGTGCGCATAAGTTTTTTATGCACATTTTTAGAATTTATGAGCATCTTGGTGTTTCCATTCAGCATTTTTTTTATGCGATATTCCAAAATGCACATAAAGATAGGTGGATGGAAACGCAGTTAATGTCCTTGTAGATTGTGCTGTGGTTTGGTACTAGAAAGTAGCATAACTTTAGTATTTCATGTGATTAAGATACATGCTCTAATAACTGCCACAAGTTCAGTTAGCATTTGCTAGTTGCTTTCATAACTGTGCACCTGCAAAGAACATTAAGCGTTTCATGAAGTTCTTTCATTTAAATATACAACCTAGGCTGCCAAACAATGGCAAGAGCTCTGATGAGCATTCAGCCCCATTGATTGTGTTGTAATGATGGCTGCACGGAAAGTTCCTTGTAGTCATTGTACATTGTAAATGGCTGTCTTTTGTCAGAGGCTAGCAGTATCATCTGTGTATTCCAGGGTGGTCAGAATAACAGTGTTTCACCCCATGCTGTTCTTGGACTATTGAAGAGCTTCTCTTACTGATTATTAGTACAGAACCTTTTTAGTTTTTTACACCTGACAAATTTGTTTGATGTTGCTCCATTTTTCTGTAGGGGCCATTTCAGACTGCCTTATAATGCCAGAACAGGTTTGAATTTGACAGTTCTGTTTGACAGGTTTGAAGCGGAGATCCCTCCTTAGGAGAATGAAACCAGACCATGCTGCACACCAGCAGGTGATCAGTGTAACCAGCTGTCCTCTGATCGCTGTGTGTGAGTGATCTGTAATAGCTTGATGATGATTGGACTGAGCTGAGAGCTTGGACATCCCCATGTCTCTTTGTAATGCAAAAAAAAAGAGTTGGTGGCAAACTATTGGGAGGCAAAAAGCATAGCAAAGAGCATGGAAGCATCCAAAGGTTTACTGCATATGATACTCGAGTTTGACGTTGTCATTGTGGAACATGACATAACATTTAAATGTACATGTTAATTCAAGTGTAATAAACCATTCTCTGTTATCCCTTTTAACCTGAAAATGATTCTCATGCTGGTGTGTCTCCGAAATCTGAGATGGCGATGGGCTGCTGTTCTCCATCTGTCAACACTTACGTTCTTCCCGGTGTAACGGCCACTAGAGTATTTACGGTAGTTTTGTGGCAGCATAGCATGTGTCTGTGAAGAGATAATCTGCTCTACTGACTTTTGTCTGACTTTATTTAATTTCCCTCCTTTTCTGTGTGTGACCTGAGTTGGATACTTGTGTACATTTTTCCTCACTCGATCCCCATGTATGTGGACAAGTGTGTTGGTGCTTGAGGCATTTTTATTAAACCCGGGAAAAATACGCCATTTTCTCATCTCCCGTGAATTATTCTCTTCCAGCACCACACAGTTTTCCCATCTGGAGTCTTCTCCCACCACCCTCCCATAATTTGAATTGCCCAAGCCTCGTTATATGAATAATCACATCAATATATTATTCCAAGGTTGTCCAGTTGCCAGTTCTTATATGAAACACATCTTACTCACACAATGGTCATATCATACAAATTTCAACCCATTTGGAACCTCAACCTGGTAACCTTCAACACAGTAGCAGACGCAGGAAGTGGAATCAAGCATTACTGGTAGAAATGGGAGAAGACTCAGGTGGTGCTCAGGTGGGAAAAGGAGATAGCCGGGGCTATTTACACTAACTCCACCCACCAACGTGTGGTTGGGTTACACAAGATTACAAAAGACACCTTTCATACGACGACTCCAGTGGCGTAGGTAAAATAGGGCATAATTTTAGCAGTTATTATTTTGCCGTGATCGACCCGAGTTCAAATCCACCTTTTGCCGAACTCGTTCTTCTCCCTTTTCACATCACGTATCACATCGGAAAGGAATCTATTTTCAATTTTTAAAAAATGAACGAAATATTCGAAAAAAGTGGAAAATAAGGTGCCTCACAGATGTTTATTGATTAAGGTTAGGGTTAAGTGTAGGGATGGCTTTATTGTCCCAAAGTGGCATGCATTTGATTTTAATAATTATAATTTACACTCAATACTGTAGCGTCTGCGTAGGATCATGCATGAAGCGTTGGACTGTTTATGGCTTAAAAGACCCCTTTTAGCCTTTTGACTTATTGCATACGGTTTTATAATGTGCTAGTTAGGTGCAGATATCTGGCACTATTTGCACCAAGTAGTATAAACAGTATTTAACTACAATTATTGCAAAGGAGTAATTTATCTACTGCTATCTCCTTTTCCCACCTGAGCACCACCTGAGTCTTCTCCCATTTCTACCAGTAATGCTTGATTCCTCTTCCTGCGTCTGCTACTGGGTTGAAGGTTACCAGGTTGAGGTTCCAAATGGGTTGAAATTTGAATGATGTGTTCATTGTGTGAGTAAGATGTGTTTCATATCAGAACTGGCAACTGGACAACCTTGGAAAAGAATCTATCACTATTTGCTCTTAGTGAAAATAGCATCTATTGCTAAGAAAATATGCTATTTCCACAGTGTAAATAGCATCTAATTGCTTAGTGTAAATAGTATATATTTTTTGTACTCTGCGGCTGCAGCATCTTTTTTTTTTTTTACTAACTCTGAAATGTCTGTATTTGACATTCCCTGACCACTTCTATGACCATAGCCGCTTCCCTGACTCTCTGTGGTCATTAAAAACCCCATGGCACTTGTCGTAAAGAGTAGGGGTGTAACCCCAGTGTCCTGGCCAAATTGCCGCCACTGGCCCTTGTCTATCATGGCCTCCTAATAATCCCCATCCACTTGATTGGCTCTATGACTCTCTCCTCTTCACCTGTAGCAGTGTGTGTTGAGCGCACTGGTGCAGTGGTCCTGTGGCTGCCGTCGCATAATCCAGGTGGGATGCTGCACACTGGTGGTGGTTGAGGAGAGACTCCCCACATGATTGTAAAGCGCTTTGGGTGTACATAAAGCGCTACAAATGTATCATTCAAAAAAATAAAAATAAAAGATTAAGGTTATTCCTAGCATTTGGTGCCATTTGAGTCGCCATGTTATAATGTGGAAAAATTTACTAATACTTTGCTAAATGTTCAGGTCTCAGGGAGAGGAACTTAAAGGGGTCATATGATGCTATTTTAAAGACCATTATTTTTTGTATTTGGTGTAACAGAATATGTTGACATGCTTTAATGTTCAAAAAACACATTATTTTTAAAATACTGTAGGTTATTGTAGGCCCTCTATCCCCCGCCTCTCTCAAACACATCGTTTTCAACAAAGCCCCCTCCTTTGACAAGCGTAGTCTGCTCTGATTGGCCAGCTGACCCAGTGCATTGTGATTGGCCGAAAACCACAAGCACGCGTCGGAAATGTAACCCCCCTTACCATAAATCGCGAGCTTCAGCTTTCAAAGTAAATATCAAGACAGTTAATAATGTCGTTAGTTTTACCATCAGTTCAAGCCCGAAAGGGCAACAGAGTCGCGTGACAGACACAGTGATGATGCAGTACACAAGCCGCGGCTAAGACAGTTGACGTGCTATGATTTCTGACAGGCAGTTCACTCTCCTGTGATGTGACCCTGTCTCCCCCCCCACACACACACACACACACACCCACCCGGCATGTTACTCTGCGCAAAACTCCACATTTGAACAGTCAATAGCAAATACTTAAACTAATAACAAAACATACTTACAGACGCTGAACCAGAAGCACCAGATTGTCATAGCAAAGTCGGAATTGACCGGGGTTTTTTTTTTTTTTTTTTTTTAAAGAAATAGCCTTTGTGCACAGCCAGCCTTGTACTCTAGGTTAAAAAAAAAAAAAAGTAGTCCATAAAATTTGTTGCACAAATTCAAACATCTGGGTTGTGCTGTTCTGTAGTAAATAAATCTCAACTAATGAGTCTTAATTGCATCTACTTCCAGAAGGCCAAAAAAAAAAAAATGTGCTTTTGCACTGAAACACACACACATCGTCTCCCTGACATGGCTGCATCAACACTACTGCGGTTCCTGAAACCACGCGTTCTTTCTTTGCGTGCACATTTTGGCGGTATTATGCTAATATTTCCACAGTGAGGTAGATATGTAGGGGTGTGTTAGAATGAGCTGTTTTAGGTAGGCGTGGCTGACTCTTAACTTTTATAACGAATAGCTCTTTGAATTTGAGACTTTAGTCTTTGCAACTTTACAGATCTTCTTTATGCACCAAGAGCTTGTAACACTTCAAAGAGAAAGGAAAACTTGAAATTGAATCATATGGCCCTTTTAAATCACTGATGCCAGAAAGCAGTTATGCAAGAAAACACCCAAAGGATACCAATAACACTTCAATCAAGCAATTGTTTTTATTTGAGGTGGGGGACAAAACCGTTCTAAACTGTTAATGCAAACAGGGAAAACATGCCATAAGAATAAAGCACTGAATTGAAAAGATCTCCAGTAAGTGTCAAGCAAAATACCCATGACCATTTCAATGACCACATCCCCGACCATTCCCTTGACCACATCCCCGACCGCTTCCCTCACCATGACCACTTAACTGACCCTGACCTCTTGCCTGACCCTCTTCCCTGGCCACGTGGTTCATTGCATGCAAATCCACCGGTAGTTGGGCAACATTTCTGTGTGGCAGGACACTGGCCATCATGGAAACAGCTTTCAGCACAGTGGAATCATCTCCGGTATGGGATATTGACCTGGCTTCACTGAGTTGACACAGATGGTCAGCTTTAGCATGTGCATATCGACAGTATGCCACTTCAATATACAGCACAAAACACTCGAAGCATGAATAGCAAGTTTTACCTACAGAGTTAATTATATTCCAAGTATTATTCTTCTTTATTTTGTAAAGTCATCCTGTGCTTAAAACTATCCCAAGGAATGAATTCAAACCTACTTTAGACGAGAACAACAGAAGGCAAAGTCTCTGCTTAAAACTTAAATTGAATTCAATGGGTTACTAATGTTTTTTTTGGACCCATTATTAACTGAAACTCACTGAAAACAGGCAGCACGCAAACAGGCCCACGGTGAAGTCGACAGTATGTGTGTCCTCCAGGGCAGCCTTTATCAGAAGAACATCCTTGACAGGACGGCATGACCATCAGCCTCGCCGGACATAAACCGTCCACTAGAGGATTCAAGAGGATCATTAGGGGAGGCCAGGGAGTGTGGTTTCAGCATTTGTAAATCAGGGGGTTAGCAATAGGTCTCAAACCCAAACACAAATTTTACATATTTGTCTGCTTCAAATCAAAAGTGTTTTAAAACCTACTACTCATTCCTAAATGGTGTTAATTACTTTCAAATACTGAAAATCCCTTATTTCTGCATTTCTTCAGGCTGCATAATGAAGTCAACAGATATTCTCACCTGTGGTTCGTCTTGGAATAGCGCGAGTTATGCTCAAGTATCCAAAAATACACGATTAAACAGCAATCAACAAGAAATACATTCGAGCTGTCATCCTCCCAACCTGCAATCTCACAATGATCTCTGCTGGAAAATGCGCTGAATTGGTGCGTCAGAAGGAGCGGACAGCGATGCGCACAAAACTAAAATGAATACGTGTTGCTGCAATATCAACCTCTGTAAAATGGGGTTTTAAAGATCCAAGGAGATCAGGTCATTTCCAACCCTGATCAAACTCGCCTGCCTGTAGCTTTCTAGTTATCTGAAATGCCTTGATTAGCTTGTTCAGGTGTGTTTGATTGGGGTTGGATGAGCTGAATGCTGCGTTCACGGCATGTCATAATAATTAAGGTAGCCTAATTACAAGAGGATTGTGCATTTCTATGGTGACGCTATAAATTATTCTTCTTCTTCTTTCTTTTTTTATTATTAACCAGAACAAAATACACAACAATAATGTACAAGAGTGTGCAAACCATTTATTCAGTAATCAACAACTGTGTATTCGTGGAAAAAATTACAAGTCTTGTTTGCTTTTTTATTAACAATGTTCTCCAAACTGGTGCAGTAGTCCTTAAATGTTTGACCCAACACGCTGGGTTGTTTGAAAATGACTATTGCTGGCTTAAAATGAACCAAAAATCAATTGGAATAAAAAAAACCACACACAGAGAACTACTAGAGGCAACAGTAATAAGCAAAGGTGAAAATGTATTAATAAGCAACAACGCCCATGTACAAAAATATAAGACAAATTGAATACAGCATAATTTTCAATATTACATGCATTTAAACTCGTTTATCAAGCATTTTAGAAATACAAATATGACGACTGGTGACTTTTTGTCTGGACTTATTAGCATATGCATTCTTGAGCCACTCAAAGTCATGAGGAAAAAAAGCAAATACAGTACCCACTTTTCTACTATAACAATATAGCAAATAATTCCATAAATGAGTAACATAGAGATAAACAAATATTACATAAATATGGGAAAAATTATCTTAAATATTTCTGAATTTTTCTAGAAAATATGGAATAATCACTGGAAATTATAGTTAAAAAAGAAGGCAATATTGTTTGCTTCTTCCGCAGGATCTTAGGGCACACCCCAGATCTGGATGAAGAAACTATTGATGATGCTTTCTTTCGTGCATTTAAAGTCTGGAGTGATGTCACACCTCTGAAATTCAACAGGATAATGGATGGAGAAGCTGACATCATGATTAACTTTGGCCGAAATGGTATTCAACAAAACCTTTTGTCTATGTCTTTCTATAAAATATGTTTCTATGTAAGTTTCTGAACTACTGTGGTGTAAATGTACAAACCCCAGATCCTTTTTGTCCCCCCCCTAACCACTGCTCTTAACTACTAAGTCACATACTAACCACAGTCACTCTGGAAAATCCTTAGTATAAAGCTTTCTGCACCAGAGATTGATTTTCATTGTGGTCTTTGGAAATACCATTATGAGATCACAAGGCAATTACAAAAAAGACAGTACTGTCACAGTGTAAATCTTTCCTGAGGATTCTGTAAATAAAAAATTGTGGAAAAAATCTAAAGAAAATGAAACTATACATGAGACCTATGTTAAAACGACACAATTACCTACTCAAAACATGTTGGATTAAAACAAATATTTGAGTTAAATGAGTTCTATTTGTTATAGAACATGGTGATGGTTACCCATTTGATGGGAAGGATGGTCTTCTGGCTCATGCCTTTGCTCCTGGACCTGGTATTGGAGGAGACTCTCACTTCGATGATGATGAGCTGTGGACATTGGGAGAGGGACAAGGTATATGAATTGTCTTGCTTCTGGTGACTTGTTACCTCTTTAAATTCAAGTAGCTGTTTTTTTAACCATTTTGTTTATCAAATGTGATACAGTGATTTCCTGCTCTCTCTGCATCTTGATTTAGTGGTAAAGGTGAAGTATGGCAATGCAGAAGGGGAGTTCTGTAAGTTTCCATTCTTGTTCATGGGTAAAGAATACACCAGCTGCACCTCTCAGGGTCGAGATGATGGGTTCCTATGGTGCTCTACCACATACAATTTTGATGAAGATGGAAAGTATGGCTTCTGTCCTCATGAGCGTGAGTACCCTTTGTGCTAAGTTTTAGAGTAAAGTATAATTCGACACTGTTCCCATCCAAAGTGGTCTTAATTTGGGGAAGAAATGTGTGTGACACATCGTGACTGTAATAATGTCATAATCACTGACTCACTGAGTTTTGTTCCTTCCTGTGTTGCAGTCCTGTTCACATTAGATGGAAATGCAGATGGAGCTCCTTGTAAGTTCCCCTTCACATTTCAGGGTGAAAAATATGATAGTTGCACCACCTCAGGCCGGGATGATGGGTACCGTTGGTGTGCAACTACTGAAGATTATGACCGTGACAAGACTTATGGATTCTGTCCTGAGACGGGTCAGTCTATAATTTGTAATAAGTCTCAATCCAGAGCAATATTTATTTAGATTTCTTTGAAAACCAAAACTAAATATAACTTATACCATTCAAATGTTTGGTAAGTAATTCAAATGTTTGTCTGTAAGAAATTAATACTTCAGTAAGCATTCAATTGATAAAAAGCAATTTGTTACAAAAAAGTAAAACAAAATTATAATAATAATAATTTATATTATTTTGAACTTTATATTAATCAAAGAATCCTGAAAAATCACTGAAAATATTCCTGTTTCATGTTGTATATTTCTGTTCAATTAAATTCTTCATAATGCATACTCTTAAAAACATATTACAGAATAGTGCCTTACAAACCTCACTGTAAGCAAACCAAAGGTGAAAGTGGCAAAAAAAAGCACATGTAAAACAACAAATGTTTAGATGTTGCTCAAGACATTTTACCATTCACTTAAGTGGAAACATAGTGATGCAATAACAAAACCAATGTTACACCGTGTCTACACCGGACGCGAGTGGCGCGGCGCGACAAAATACTATAGAACTCATTATAATCAGTGATGCTGTCTACACCATAGATATACAGTATATACATATCTATGGTCTACGCTGGATGCGGCACAGCGCAACACGACAAATCCCCGACAGAAAACTGCTGCTGCGCTCTATTCATGACGTATTGACACAAATTTCAAATGATTTTCAACGGTCGCTTTGTCGCGTCCAGTGTACTAGACAGACTTTAGCTGTTGCGGCGCAGACACGATGGTACTCATCTATCGAGAAGAAACAAAGCAACCTCGGCATCCGATCGCAGGCCTTCCGCTCCTTGAGTTCTCTCCAGCGCTGGAAAGCTGATCCGATATTTACACGGGTCCTACTTCTTGCCTTATTGCCTTAAGCCTTCTTTTGTTTTGTTGACGTTTTTTATCCACCATCTCTATCTTTCTGTCGCTCGGCTCGCTAATGTGAGCACTGAATGCTCTGTCCTCCACATCCAGAGTAGACATGCCCCTTACTGCTGATTGGCTACAAGTTTGTTTTGCTACTCAGCCTGAATCAGTTTTCTAAAGCGTTTTTGAAAAATCGCTTACCCCACCTTTAAATCAGTAATGTATCTGTCTATGCAACTGGTTTTTAAGGTCAGTCTTCATCAAGTCTTTAAAGCAGTTCTCCATTCACTCCTCAGTTTCCAGCAGCCTGTAAAAGCTTATTTTTTTCTTTATTACAAGATCTTTTCCGTTGTGTTACTGATCTGGCATAAGCAAGTCAGGAGCACAGAACTCCTCATCTGGTTATAATTCCCTGGGAATGCAGCTTCCTATTTGTGTATGTGTATGTGTGTGTGCTGAATAAAAGAGTCATAAAAACAAGTCTAGTATGGTGCAAGCCATCACTTTGAATTGGAGCTTTGGACCACAGTTCCATACTTGAGCAGAACTTTAACAAAACACAGCTCTGTTTATGCCATGTAGCTGGTGTGTCCTTCATTTTGAATCTGTCGAGTCAGTGTGATTCAGACTGTTGAGTCTGTGTAATTGAGAAGGACTCCTCCCTGATGCTTCTCTTAGCTCCTGTAGTTTTTCTTTAGGTTCAAATGCCATGATCTAATATGTGGGTTTACCACTAACTACAGCTTGTGTTATAGCTTGTGACATCATATTTGAAAAACAGATACACACACTTAATCGTAACAGTTTCCATATCACTGCTTCTTTTGCTTCTCTTGGTATTTTATTCGTTGTTAAGCATTTTATTTGTTTATTGTTCTAATTAAGAGCTGGCCCTTTTTCATGTTTAGAATGCTGTAGATCATACTTTTTAAACCATACTTTTATAACACCAATTTTGTCATTATCAACCTCTAAAATTTTGGGTATTTATTTAAATGACACAGCCATGTCAACGGTCGGAGGAAATTCAGAAGGTGCACCCTGTGTCTTCCCCTTTAAATTTCTGGGCAACACTTACGACTCCTGCACCACGTCAGGACGCAGTGATGGGAAGATGTGGTGTGCCGTCACCAAAAGCTTTGATGACGACCGCAAGTGGGGCTTCTGTCCTGACCAAGGTGGCATAGAGATATTTTGTATCATTATTTCATTATAATTTGTAGCATGCAAAAAAGATTTAGTTGTTGTGATGTCATAAAAAAAATTTGTTTTCCACTTCCTGTCTCTGTGATTCTATACTTATGTAATTGTAGTCAGATTAATAAATTGGCCTCTGTATTTTTTTCAGGCTACAGTCTATTCCTGGTGGCGGCCCATGAGTTTGGCCATGCCCTGGGTTTGGAGCACTCTGAGGACACTGGAGCTCTCATGGCGCCCATCTACACATTCACCAAAACCTTGAGGTTATCTGATGATGACGTTAAAGGCATCCAGGAGCTCTATGGTGAGTGTGAAGTGTTGAAGACGGTATTGAATAGAATAGACTTAACTTAGGCACTTTAGTACTTGCAAGTTCATTATACTTGTTTAACAGATGTTGTGATGAATATGATGAAGTATTTTTCTCTTCTTTATTCCTCTTAACACTTTTCTCTGTACAGGTGTACCAACAGACAAACCATTGCCCACTGATCTCCCTCCGGTCACGCCGATGGATGTATGTAATGAAAACATCATATTTGATGCTGTAGCCCAGATCAGAGGAGAGATCTTCTTCTTTAAGGACAGGTAACTAAGGACACCCAATTCACAGAAAGGCCTGAATGTTAAAGGCACAATATGTAATTTTTCGCCGCTAGAGGGTGCGTATTCAAAACAAACAAAGAGACAAAGGCGTAGT